TTTGTCCCTTGGGATTAGCCAGGAGATAGGTGATTGAGAAGCTGTTGGCAAATACCTTTCAGCAGAAGGAAAGGTATCAACTGGAATTTCAAACTGTAACATTGCTTCACTTGTTTGATACAACTTTGTGTTGCTCAACCCTTCATGACAAATTACCAAGGCCTGGCTAAAAGCTCCACAACTGTCCCAGCAGGATACAAGACACACAAACCATGAAGATGTTGTAACTAAATGTACATAGGTTCGGAGAGGAACTCCAGTCTAGATTACAGAACAGTATTAGAATTTCGCTCTTTTTATCATAAACAGATTTCTGTAACACAAAAAACCCCCAGATCCTCCTTTTCCAGATGACTGTGAATGGAAAACAGGTGAAAGCCTCACACAGAAAAGATTCCCCTGCTTCCTCTGAATCTTCAGTTGCTAAGAATTTTACTACATTATGCACAGTACAATACAGAGTATTCAAACATCTTGGAGAGTAAAATAGTTACATAAATAGAGTCTGAAATGAAGAATTAAATGACATCATGACAGAAGATAAAGTATTGATCAGAAATAAGATTAAACTTTTTTATGATTGCAAGTGCTATGATAGAAAAGTTTCTCAATTGATCCATGGAGGCACTTCCGAAAGAACTAAGTGATCAGCTATCCCTGAGCAGCATGGACACAGCGTTCTCCAACAGCCGCAAGAGTCCAGAGATGGACCTAAAAAGCAAAATCATTCAGAGGAGAGGCCTGAAGCAAAGCAAATGCTGCAGAGTCCAGCTGCAGCACTGCAGTTACGCTCTTCGGTACACGTGAAAAGTGAACAACAGAATTTGTGTGGGAGTTTGGACAGCCAGAACTTAGGAGATCAAAGAGAAGATACCAGGGTAAGAAATAAGTGATGAAAGCAGATGTGAAGATCTCAGCAGAATGGGAGCTGATGTAGTTTCACGTGAGGAAGCTGATAACAAGGAGCAATAGGCAGTCACATATATGAACTTTGGAGAAGAAAGTATCACAAGGCCAAGGAGGACATCATCATTACAGGAGAGGCAACCAGACACTTGTAACTGAAAAGAGACAAGGGTTATGTCTGCTCTGTTTCTTAAAGCCAAGAGAATTAGTCCAGCAGAAGATGCTCAGCACCACCACAGAAGAGGTAGCTGCAGTCAAAGTTTACCACTTCAGTCTGTCTCTAGGCCGCTGGGATTAATTGCACCAGTTCAAATTGTCTGGAACTTCAGCAGCAGAGATGCTCCAGCCCTGCAGTTAATTGGGATCAGTAGGAAAACCGTTATATTGACAAATACTACCATCACGTGTCCTTGCAACAATGCAACATCTCCAGATACAAAGTAGAAAACATCATTCTGGTTCAACGGTCTCTATTCCCATGAAGTGCATACTTCCAGTTGCATAGGTCTACACAAATATTTTCATGAGGGAAGTCAGAAAGTAGTAATAACAGGAGATCGGCTATTACAGAGGTAGATGTAATTTAGCATTAAGACTATCCCTTTACACAGTAGAAAAAGAAAGCCTTAAAAAATTCTTCACATTGTTATCACTTTACTGCTCAAGCAAAGTGAAGTACGTGAATTGCTTCATGCTAACCATCGCAAACAAGCATTTCTTTAGAAGGCTCACTGACTTGGCACACGGTATTTGTCAAATTGTTTAAAGATAACACCATGGGTGAAAAAAATCCAACGTTTACATAAGCAAATGCCACCTCAAAGGACATCCAAGTACAACCCCTTCTCTCCCCCACCACAGAAGGCCACCTCTAAAACAGAAGGCAGCAATTTTCCAAGAATGCTACAAAGGGGTTTATCTCAGTAAGAGCTCTCGAGCATTAGAGCCAAAATATTGTTCATTTTCTTTTCAAGTTGCAGCCCAAAACTATTATTGTTACAAGGCCTTTTAGCCTACTGACGCAAATAGATTAGCAACACCCAGCTAAGATTGGTGATAACCTCACATTAGGAGACTAATATTTTCTCCTTCTGTCTCCCAAGCGTAGAAGGCAACTCCCATATCAAACGTACTGTTGTATGGAAGGAAAAATAAAATGCACCAGAGTCATCAAGTAATTTACTAATCACAAGCAATTCATTTGATTTATGCCTAAATCAGTCTCCAAACACCATGTCCAATACATCAAAAAGGTCTTCATCTTGATGCTTAAGTACTTGTCTTGAGCACGACTTCATATTAATTACCCCAAGCACCCAGTTGCCATTATTAGCTAAGGATGGAGCAGAAAAAAAGAAGGACTTATTAATAGAACTGCCTGGGAAACAGGAAGTTTATTTTATTTTCTTAAACATTACACAACGCGGAAGTTTTCTAGCCAGCTCTCCAAGGACTGTTCCCACATGTTTAAGTGGAACTTAAAAGAGTTTTGAACTCTGCATCCCCGTTCTTAATGGACACTTTTTACACTGCTGAAGGGGATGCTCTGCAATACTAACAATGCTTTACAAACTCTCTTCATCTAACCAGCCGCTTCCTGCATGGCGGAAGAGTAGGCAGAGGAAGCGAAGGGCTGAGGAACAATACTGACAGACAAGGGCTTCAGCAGAAAGACAGGATTGTTAAGCAGCATCCAGACAGTGCTTCCCTCCGACAGAGCAGTTCCAGTCCCTGCAGAATGGTTCTTCTCTGCTGCTCCCACAGCGTGGCAAGCAAAGAAACTATCTGCTGGGAAGTAAAAATGCATTTTGTTTCATGGTGCATCTTCCTAGCCTAGAGAATGTCAGGCTGGATTGAGTAACATGCCCAAGGAGAAAAAGGGAATGCAAACAGAGACAGGCATGCAGGCGTAAGCACAGAGCACTTTGACGAATGAGGGACTTTTGCCAGAGGTAAAGTATTGGGCACCCAGGGGTGGCAGCAGGTCAGCATTTCACAGGGCATGCACAGGTGATTTATATGGTGTAATCAAATTTTATTACCAAAATGCATACAGTAGAAAATCACCATGGCACTATCGTTATTTTTAGAAACTGCACACTAAACCACTCACGACCCTCACAGCACCAAGGAATTCTCATACATTACAGCAGCAACGAAGATGCCAACCAAAAGGAAATGTTATAAGATGTTGGAGATTCAAAGTCAGAAAGAAACTAAAAACTCTGGAAAGGATGAATACATGCAATTAAAGCACTCAAACTGGGGCAGCACTCCCAGAACTGGGAGAGAATAGGAACTGTCACTTAAATTAGATATCTTTTCAGTGACTCAGAAGTTATCCTTAAACTCTTCTTCCTTCCTACAGGACTGAGGCACTCTGAGATGGCACATCCCCGACTGCACCCATGTGTTTATCTCCTATCCTCCCAAGATATTCAGCTTTTTATGGTCCTGCATATAAAATATAAGAGACTAGGCAGGAACAAACTGTGCACTGAGGACAAGCCCATTACTCAGATTCATGCAGATGTAAACTGCACTAATAACAGTTAAATAGAGCAACATCATGTTGAACCTTGAAGCCTAGAATCATCAGCGTACAGCATCACACAAAGAGCTGTGTGACCACAAAAGGGCACAGCTCCCAATACTGAAGTAGAAAGCCAGTACGCTGCACATTTCATATCCTCCACAGGCAAACTGTACAAATACAGCAGCCTTCCCACATTTTAAGATATTTCAAACCCGTTAAAATAGACAATTGAGTTTAGAATGTATAAGCCATCTTGGGCAAGAAACCTGAGTAGCAACATGGTGCCAAAGACTAACATGAGGAAATTGCAATGATGCAATGAAAAATGCACGACAACCTGACTGCATCTATCCCTTCCAAAAAATCTTTTACAAATTTAATTAAACATGCAAGCTTCCTAGTCCTTGGACCTGAAGAAAGAGGATTTTCTTTACGGTACTTCTTTCCCAAGCAGTAAATTTTCAATCCTAAATTCACAGAGTTAATGCCACACATGCCTACAGGTAGTAAGCAAGCAGATTCCTCCGAATTTAGCGTTCAAGTCAGCAGGGCTGATTTTAGGCAAGCAACGCTCTCTCCGGAGCAGAGCATCGGCATCTCCCACCACACAAACGCCAGCTCTCTCTCAGGTTGTTCCCGGCCACACATCGGGAAGGTAACTGGACACAAGTGCCGGCATGCAACAAGCAGGTGCCCGCTGACACCAACTAACCTGGCGGGGTCTCTGCCCCGGCCGGGGCACAGTTACCGGGTCTTCAGAGCCCGTGTCCCGCTCCCGAGAACGGCGGAGCCGGGCGAACTCCGCGGCACGGAGCTGGGCTCCAGACACAGACCGGCGCTGCGGGGCGGACACGGGATGAGGAGGGCGGCCAGACACCCCCTCATCCCCCAGCAGCGCAGGTCCGGAGCCCAGCCCGGCTGGGCCCCATCGGGCCAAACCCTGCCGCCCCGCGCA